GGGGTGTTTGTCGATGCTCCGGTACCACGGTGTCAATTACTTCAGAAGGCGAGGTGGACAGATGAGTGATATTTTACAACCCGTCTTCACAACCAACGTCTCTACTGATGCGAGTCTACTAGTCTGGTCCGAATGGCATGTTGCAGGCTAAAGAAGAAATGCAATCCTCAGAGGCTGAAGTCTCTGAAACCATGGAAGCGTATAGACGCCAAGATATGGACATTCAGCTGGTCTACTCCGACGTCACCTCTTCTATATTTTCAAGTGCTTCAACCAAATCTACTGTCTACGCGGACGCACATGAAGTCACTCTAGCAGAAGCATGTAGGAGGCCTGATCTCCCAGGTGTTTGAGAACGGCAAATATATTTACGCCTTTTCATTCCAGATATGCGTTTCCCTTGTTTCCTCTTCTCCTCTTCCTCTTTCTTTTTAAATGAGCCTCCTGCTTGATGCCTGGTTATTGGCATGCATGCAATGGAAGGCAAAAAAGTTTTTCAAATTCTAAGACATGAAAAGATGTTTTAGGCTAGGAAAGGAGTTTCTTTGCCAGCCAAAATCAAAGTTCTAATGTCCTCAGACATCGAGGTGACTGGGTGAAGGCATTTGTACAAATCACATTCACGACTAAAGCCAGAAATCAAAAGTGTTTGGAAGCTTAGTAGGTGAGAGTTTTATGAGTCATGTTAGACTGATTTATTAGGAGGAGGAGGCGAGGGAGGAAGGGGTAGGGAAGGCGACAGTTTTACACGTGCTGATGCCCCTAACTTGGCGGCTAGGCATTTGGACAGCCAATCAGAGGTTAATAAGCCTTTGACAGATGTTTTTCTCCTTTTGGTTGTCAAATTACTCCAAGGGAAGTCAGTTTATTGTTTTCTTTTCTTCCTTCCTTATTTAATTACTAACTACGTGCTGCAGGTGTCGTAAATATCTGAGGGCTCTGAAAGGTCTTCTCCCATTGGCTGGAACATGTCGTTGTTGTTCTCGCTTCTTCTACTTCTACTTCTTCTCCTCTTTCTTCTTCACCTAGTTGGACAGTCCAAGTGCCTTAAAAATTTTGTGGTAAAAAACAAGAAATTCAACCAAAACAAACTTTTAATTGCAAGGAACCATATCAGTGCCTAGAGTCCACTTCACGAATGTCATTTTTGCCATGGAAGCCTAAATTTTCGTTACCAAAACCCCAAAAGAGGCAGTGGTAAAGGGTCCGTGACAGAAAGAGCATCTTCCTTTGATCAATTTGCAGCAAGTAGTTCAGATGATGTAGGCGATACTACTGCAGTCCAGAGGTCCACTTGAACTGCCCTTTTGGCGTCTGTTGGATCAATCCACTCACCTGGTGAATTCGCCTTGTTCCTCCTCCTCCTTCTTCTGCCACCTCCGGTGTCATCTTTTTCCTCTTCTTCTCCATCTTCTACTTTACTTCCCAGGGCACTTGTCACTGTTATGGCGATGCTGTAATCACAACCATAAAATTCTCCAGAAACTATTTGGACAGTTGGCAATTCGAGTAACCCATCCATTTATTGTTCATAACCTTGTCTTGAATAATCGTCCTAGACGCCTAGGCAACTTTAGCCCAAACAGTTCGACTTTTCTTAACAATTTCCTGCCTAATTGGATTCAGGAGTTATCCCCCACCCATGACTTCTCCCATCATTTGGTCGTATTCGCGCATACCTACGAAGATCTTCCAAGTCCTTCCACAAAGTCCCACCTCCATCCCTGCCCCCCCCCCCCCCAACCACTCGCTTTGACAACTAAGATGAGGGCCATCCCTAAATCATCGACTTTGTAACGGGCCAATGGGGAAAGGGAACGCGTTTGATGCAGAAGCATCGCTCGGGTCGTGATTCCATTCCTGGAGGAAGCCATTAATTGCTGATCCGTCTGCCAAGTATGCCTGTGGATGCACAACCCATCCATCTGTCGAAGTCTGACCTCTGTCGAATTCTTTTTTTGTTGGCTACCCCATCACACCCTTCACTCCGAACCGCAGACACAAGAATTGAGGGGCTCTTAAATTTTGAGCGTTGGTGCCTTTGTGGCGAGCATTCAGCCTCCTCACGACTTGCAGCCTTCATAAAACATTCGCAACTCTCTCCTCCTCCCTGAAGTAGTTCTCTTCGTGATTGTTGTACTAGCCAGTGGCACTGGTTAGCAAGGCATGAAGGGCAGCAGATCGAGGAGACCAATGCGGCAGACAGGAAGTACGTGGAAGGGATTAGAGTTCGTGAAATGCAAAAAGACCGTCGTTTGCCAGATCTAGAGGTCACTAACACGACCGGATGCGGTGCGGAAAGACTAGAAGGTGGTGGGCGGGGGGTGGCAATGGAGAGGGATCGCCTTGGAAGGCGAAATCAGGCAAGGGGTGAACGGTGCCTTCTCTAACCTTAGCAGAAGTTCCTTTTTTTCTCTTATCTTTGCAGCAACACTCCCAGTTGCTCCATTTGGCCACTGGAGCAGGCTTCGGCACACTCGTGACCTCTTCCCAGGTCAATCCAATTCCTTTAAGCAACTAAACGTACTCACCACATTTCAAATCGGGCGGCAAAAGTGGAGCGGTTCAAACAAAGCCCGCATGATATAAAATTTAAAAATGACCCTCGACACATGCGCGACCGCGGCGCTTCAAGGGGCGAAGGGGGGCAGGGGTTGTGCTGCACGATGTGTTGGTCACTGCCGCTACACTTATGAGGGTCATCCATCTTCAAGCACATACCTTAGAAATTTTAGCGAAAAAGTGGAGCAAAAAAGACAAATTTTGCTGCAACTTTGCGATCGTATTCATGCCGCCCTCTCTAACTCTGTTTGGAGTGACTGTTCCGAGGTGATTGAATAACTTGGCCTCTCGAAACGACGTCGCCTTAATTGGCTTTTCCGTTGAAGGCAAATGGAATACGTTGGTTGCGCTTTTACCTCTCAGTTTTACATGCAGCGGCCGCTGTGAGTCACCCCCGCTGTACCTTGGCCGGGTGGTCCGGCCTCCAGGCCACGGGAATACCCCCTCCCCTCCCCAAGCCCTTCCATCTGTCGGCCACGCGTGTCCTACCCTAGTAACATGTCGTCCTTCGTCTTCAGGACGTCTCTTGGTAGGAGGGGAAGGGGCGGGGAGAAGAATCGGTGACGATTCCCAAGAGAAAGGTTTATAAATGACGTCTGCCTGCGCCAACTACAGGAAGGCTATTAACAACCGCAGTGACAATGACCATGAACCATCTGGGAAAAGTCCAACGCGGTGCTGTCTATGCTACCTGGACGAGGGTGGCAATGAAGTGAACACGTGGTACCACCTCCACTCCTCTACTAGCTAAATGGACAGCTCTGAAGTGCGAACAGCGTGGCAGGAAGGAATAGAAATAAAATCCTGTCCATGACTTTGCTTTTAGGTCAGCGTTCCTTCGACTGGCTATGGACACGCGTGATGGCCAGCACATTCCTCCATCTCCCACACTGGACGACACACCCAATCCAAGAGGATCGCCATGAGGGATCTGTAATATCGCGGTCAAGTGTCGCCTCAGCTGCAAGAAAATTCGATGGCTGGTGCGGCTGGCTCGTGGGCGGTTCCCTATGCAGCACCAATTGCGTGGTGATAGCTGACACTGGAGGTTGGTCCAAGGGAGCGGCGGGAACGACGCCCAGAAGGGGAAAGGGGGGCTGTGTAATACGTTGGTGGTTTGTTTAACCTTTGGTTTTGGCGAAGGGGTCACTCTGAATCTCCGCCGTTGTATCTTTACCGAGGGGGATTGGCCTCCGGGCCATGGCAGTCGCCTCCTAGTCCAGCTCGGTGTCGAATAATGTCTACTCCTTCAGAGCATTGGACCTTCTTCTGTCTCCAGAAAAGTATCGAGATGATACAAAAACATATTTGGTTCCTTTGATGGCACTTTTAACTTCCCTTCATATTCTCAGAGCAACTTCTTCCTGCTTGACAGACAGAGATGGATAACTTCAGCACATCAGGCATAAGAGAGCTGGCATTTGAAATAGAGGAAGTCGTAACATTTACGAGGTCTGCCACTTTGTCTCACCGTATCCACTACAGTCAGTGATCTTGTCTAAAGCCTCTTTAAGCTCACAGATCCGACAAAGATCCTCGTAGTCCTCACTAAGGAGGTTTTTTTTTGGAATGGATCTGCCGTAGTAGTCGGGCACATTGTTTCTCAACGTGGACATCTGTAACTGAGTGGATTGTGCTTCCACTGAGCGTGGAAGCCATGGTCGTATGGTGAAACAAGCACTGCTGACGCAGGGAAGAACTGGAGGAGGCTTCTGGCCTGGTCCGAACGCCATACTGCAAAGCGGAAGCAGAACCCGCGGAGACTCAAAACCCCGCGTAATGGAACACCTATTTAAACAAAAATGTCAAACCACTGTGGACGGTTGGCCAAAGTATCATGGGAGGCAAGAGTGAAGAGGTATTTGCTTGGAGGCAACTGCCCGATCTTATCGAGCGTCAAATAAGATGCCTTTCCACCTCGTCAAATTGGGCAAATGTGGGAATTTGACATTTCGTTTAACTGGCCAAGGGGTTGAGGCTCCACACGTCCTACGTCCGCTCGGTGATCCAGTCTTCAAACATTTTCTGCGCTGCCTTGGCTTGCTACCACTCGAACGAAGAGTCGAGGTGCTGGAGGAGGACAACAGGCGCACCAAGAAGAGGTCTCCCGTTTCCATTGAAGGTGTGAAAGGTGATTCGCATTGTGATGAACAAAATATCACAAAGGTAAAAAAACGATCCAATTTTTACGGTGTAAAGATATTCATCTCAAAGTTAAGGGCGGATTTCTAGATTCCGGGTCAATTTAGGTCACTTGTGGAGTTACAAAAGTACTCTCGGATTTAATCACGTAAAAGTCCATGTTTTTTGCCCCCTTATTTTCACCTATTCTCCAAATTTGGCATCATCAAGGGACTATCAACTGCTGAGTAAAACAAATATTACAGAGGCTAACAAGAATAGGTAAGGAATGATAAATGAGGATACGGGAAGCACGTCATAAACATCCTCCCTGGGAGGAGGAGAGGAGGGGGGGAGACAACTCACCGAAGACCTCCAAAACACTCCCAAGCCCTTACGGACGCCTTTCTAAAACGGATGATGCGATAGTTGAAACCTTCGACCCTTACTTGACTTTCAACTCCGTCTGTTCATTCAATGACCGCCTCCTCGTCGACATCTCGCCTTCAGTGAGATGGATCACCTAAAAAATGGTTTCTAGGTTGCGATGGTCTACACATTCCCCAGTCTCGCATCAATTGCCAGACTGCTAGTTGACAAAAGGAGCTGCTGGTCTACTTGGTATTCAACCCCCGCGCTCGTAATTTAGTGTTTGTAACTCTGGTCAGAATGAATATGCATTTTCGGGTTACACTTTATAAATGGCAAACTGTGGCAAATCTGCTCGATCCTCATTCGACAGTCCAATCGCAGATCTGCTCGCGCCAACCTACCAACACGCCAAAAGAGGAGGTGAGCAAAGGCTTTCGTTAAGCGTCCTCCTCGGTCGCGGAGTCTCCAAACCCCAGGTTAAATCTTGGGCCACTCCGTAGTTTACGGGTCCGCCGCAGATTCCTCACTCATTACCCAACATAGTCGACTCACGTAATACGCGAATTCACTGACGGGCTGTCACATTCAGCAATCCGTGTTTTTAACTCACTAGCCTGCGTCAATTTGACCCCCAGTCCGAGCTCCGGGCGTTGGATTCCCAATGGTCAAAATACCGTTTTAATTCTCATTCTTTCGCCTTTCATTTGACGACCAGTCTTTTGGTCTCCAACCCCAAAAATACCTCCCCTGACCCTGCATCGGAGGTTGAAGTGTCATGTACGCCGTACTTCAAACAGAGCGTTATTGCGGTCATTGATTTCAGTTTAACTTATCATTACCCCACCACAACTAGCTAAAACTGCTAGATAAAAAAATAAAAGCAAGATTAATGGGGGTGTAAAAAAATGCCCACGCAAATAGTGAGAAACATATGGGGGTGAGGAGGGTGGAGTAAGAGACACGCACACATTTCTAGGTGGTACCATGACTATCTCTCGTAAATATAATTATCTCTTTAGTTTGTCGAAATGATGCCCACTGGTGAGTGGCCAGTCTGTTCCTCACCTCGGGATGGAGATGGGGGTGGTGGTGAGACAGGGGGTGAGGTATCGTGATGAGCCGGAATGCGAAGAGGAGTCATGGTATTCCCGGCGGAAACTCCAGGGACGGGTGCAAAGGTAAAGGCCTTAGGCGAGGTACTAGAAGGCACATTGAGCGGTGAAATCTGTCCTGAGCTACCTGTTACCCCGACAATCTCCACGGAGTTGAGGAAGCCACCGGCGGAGAGATTGTAACCACCAATCACAGCAATGCAGGGCACCCCCGAGGATACGGCCATTGTTGATTGAATTGAAGGTGGTGTGAGTGATACAGCACATGGCGATGCTCGACCAATCGACAAAGACGGCCCCGGTAGCCAGCTCCAAGTACGCGAGTCAAAGATCTGGGTCTGAGTTAAGGTGGAAAGACCGTCTGAACCACCGATTAGAAGGAGGCGACCTAGAGGCAGAGAGAAAACATGTTAGTCATTGAAACAGGTATTAAAAATAACTCACCAGAAGAGGGAGAGAGGGGAACCAAGGCGGCGCCAATAAGAGGACCCCGGCTGAGGAGTTCAGGAAGATGGATCCAGTGAGCGCAACGTGGATCGTAGGCCTCACCGGAGGGAGAGAATTCGGTGCATTCGATCACGTTTGGGATAGAGGTATTGAAAGGATGAGTTGAGGGGGTACTAGCCGTCTCGCTGACCCCACCCACTGCCACAATGAGGTTTATTTGGCTCAAGGACGCTGAACATAGTTGGCTTCGAGCTACAAAGGAGAAACCACAATAGTATTGAATCTTCTAAGTTTCTGGCCTTCCAACATTCTCGTACCTCTAGATAAGTTAATGGGCATGACTGTCGTTTGATTTAAGAGTTTTCACGTGACGATCGACATAATTATTTGATCTTCAATCTTGTGTCACGAGGAGTTATAATACACTCAAAGTAAATGACCCTCAAAAGAAGAGAAGAGCTAAGTAGCATGAGGACATTTAACCACGGAGATCTAGCTTCCAAAAATTTAATCTTCATGTTAGCAGCAAGTAGTTCTGTTACGAAATTTGAAGGAAACAAGTATTTACCGTATTATTATCCACGTCGTTTCGTCATTGCCACAGATAAAAGCCAAATTAGAACATCAAATGTCACACTCTCACGCCACAAAAGTGTTAAATTTGAGTCGACGACTAACCCTCGGACATGGGCGGTAAGTTGAGCCATTTGTCCGAATCGGGGTAGTAAACTTCAACACTTGACAGGGGAGAACCTTCGCATTGGCCGCCCATGACTACAATTCGTGACTCATCTGCCAATGTGGCAACAGCACAACAGCTACGTTCCTGTTGCATACTGTTCACAAAACGCCACTTCTTGTAATGCTCAGTCTTTGAGTCGAAGCTGAGACTGAAAATACGATAGAAAAGAATGTAATTATTACGACCAAAAAACCCTTTTAAAGGCTTATTTTGAGTGTATTTTTAGCCTCACCATTCAACAGTAGCAAGATCATTATTGCCATCGCATCCACCACACGCGTAGACACAAGAAGCTTTTTCCAAAGCAGCCACGGCAAGCCGACCACGTGAAGAATGCATCGCAGGTCCAGACTGCGTCGTCAAACTGACAGACCCATAACCACCGAAGTTGGAGACGCTCTCAAAGTCTGAGTTTGCACTGATCACGGAGGCTCTCCGATCCGCGAAGCTATCCACCTCGCTCAAAGGTCGTGAGATGCGCAGAATCTCAGTCGAATTAAGACACCGATCGTGAGAAGTGCCACCAGCGATGAGGATAAAATGGCTCACCGTTCTACTCGCTTCATCCTCTCCATCCTCAATTGTGGAGTAGATGGTACAAGCTCCAGCCGCGGAACGAGATTCCAGAAGGAGAGTTGAAAGGCAACCAAAGGAGCGCAGGATAGAGCCTCTTCGATGAATGCAGCCGGAAGAGGAGCATTCATTCGGGTAGTGGTCGTCTGAAAGACAGGAGCAGTGAGAAGGAGAAGGCTGTAAGACAACCGAAGTGAAATTAGCAGAAAGCCATGCTGGAGATGGGGTAAGTTAGCTCTGTGACGCTCTATTTTGCAAACGCATCACATCCGGCCGTGTGGTAATGATGTAGTAAATAGAATGAGGCGGTAGACATTAAAGGTGTCTTTAATGCGGCAGCGGCACAAGTCATGACCAAGTCAGATCAGATCAAACCAGACGTACAGTGCAGCGGCTCCAAGAACACACCGAGTCGGGCGAGGGGCGAGCGGTGTCGCGACGCAACTGCTACATTTCGACAAGGCAAAATAGTGATAACAGACCTCGAGGTGTTTACGTTAGTCAGCTTATCTACGCATGCACACCAGGCTTCCTGACTGAAAAATTACATTTTGTTTGGGTTCACTAGGACATATCCGTACATTTATGTCACCATCGGGTTGTGAGTTTGGCATGACGGTAATCCCTTAACATGATTTAATTGGCACAGAGATACACTGTCTATTTGGAATGAGAATATCGTAGATACCTCAGCCTTTCCTTCCTGGGTACCAGTGATAATGAATAGCAAGAGAATAAGCGCGGACTTGCGATATTCTAGTAAGAATTTCATTTAATCATAATTGCCTCACGGGGAATCCCACAAAAGCAATCACTTTTCAATCATCTGTTTTACAGTTTCCTGAACTTCAAAGTGCAGCGCATTCAAAAAGTGAAGAAACCAACTTAAAGTAAAAAAAAGCTCAAAAATGATTACCAAATTTAGGTAGGCATCAACTCCTCCATATATGTGATAAGTTGAGCCGATGATAATGAATACGATTCATACTGTCCAGAAAGTAATGTCAGGTTTCTCAAAGCAATAATATTTCTTTTGTTCTACTAGTCATTCAATCATTTTTTGATATTCAACAGTATAACTGTAAAACAAGTTAATTTCAACTTTTGATTGACATGACATTCGTTGAAGCACCAAATGATGATAAAAACTCAGACGCCAAAGACTCACCAAGAGTAGAAATCGTGGAAGGTATAACCACGGTGGTGGTTGAAGTGTTGACCGGTGGGGGTGAAGGCGGCAGGACGATCGATGTGGGGAGGGAGATTGTCGTGGAATACGCTGCACCACCTCCCCCCACCACTGATGAGGAGGCAGAGGAGCCAGGTCCTGAAGGTGCACGTCGTCGCTTCATTGAAATGCTCACAAGTCGACCTTCCAACTTGCCGAGGTGGATGGAGATTGGTCCGGCTGCAAGAGAAGAAGAGGGGAGTATAACTAAGAAAAAATCTTTATTTCCCACTTCTAAAAATCGGTATCTTTTATCACAGTGGGTGCTAGAGTTGAATACCTCCACAGTGATGAGTAAGAGCAACAGACAACTCATTAAAAAAGTCAAGCAATAATTTTTAATGTTTCGTGACAAATCAACACTTTCCCAATCACTTGGAGTGCCGAAAAGAGCCCACGAGACTAAGTAAACCCACAAAAAAAAGGAATCTTGTTATAGCGTTGACAAAGAAATGCGTTCCAACAAAGTAATTGTGAGGAGGAATGTGGGTTCCAATCGCAAAAATGCTTTGTCAAAAAATAAGTGCTAGAATTTTTTCTGAACTCAGGGATATTTTTCAAAGTGATAAGAGAAATGGAAAAAAAACCAAACACACAAGCTATTCAAAATCGATATCACGCCAATGACCCTTCATAGGAGGTAGGAATTGAGGCAAAAAAAGTGGATATCATTTTCCAATAAATCGATATTACTTAGGCTAATGGTGATAAACATGAGACAAATCAATACTTCCTCACTTCATAAAAGCGGGCTGCAGTCACGACCACACACTGGATTTTGTATCCACCACAAGACTTGAAGCTATTGTTGGGATTTTTTTACAATTTTAAGGCAAAAATTAAACAAAAAACGGTGCTTTTTTTTTCCCAACAGCACTAATCACCCACCTCCGAGTGACGTCTTAGCCAGTACACAGGTCTCCATGTCGGCAGAAAAGGCTGATCGACTAGGTGGCAGTGCGAGTGGGGACATCGGTTGTAGCGGCGGCGTCGGTGAGGGGGTTCCAAGCACCGCCTCGCTCCCACTGCTCACTTGCCGACCCACCTCGGCGACTTGAACTTGTTCTCCCAGCTCCGAGGAGGAGAGTGAGAGTTGGGATAATAACGTCTAAAATTGGACGATTGAGATTAATTGACAGATCTTCCAATTGTCAACAAGAGAGGGTTGGGGGGGTTAATTTGCCCGGAGAGAAGATACACAAGCTTGTGCAGAGCAAAAAAGTCAGAAGCGTGCTAAAGTGGCACGGCGATACTTATGCTAGCGAAAGGCACGTGCCATGAGGAAGTCACGTGATTCACTGATAGCAGCATGATTGACTGCAAAAGAATCAGTGGTCCTAGCAACGGCGGCAGTACCGAAACAAAGTCTTGCTCGGTCACTTCTTAGTTAAACAAGCCATACCATGTATTTTGTCTACTGGTTGCCCACGACTTCTGGTCTGACCCTAAGGTTATGTACGGCCTCTGACCGCATCCAAGCAGAGCTTGGACTGTTCACCTCGTAGAGAAATCAACACTCTCGGATGAAGAAACAAAGGAATCTCATCATGCAACTCCCTTAGGAAATATACTGCAGCTCTCCTTTCCAGAATCGCTAGCAAAATTCCAGGAGAACCACTGAAAAATGACCCAATGCTATAAAAGTGGAGTGTCGGGATCGCAGATCAAAGCGAAACCTCCAATTTTACCTCCAGCTAAGCTAAATCGTCTAAAAGGGGGGATGGCATGAAGATTTAGATTAAAATTTAAGGAAATAAGCTACCGATATTACCTGTATAAATAGTCTCACTACGACAGAGATATGCAAAATGATTCCTTGCCAAGTCTATGGAACCGACCTCCACTGGGATGGACAAACAATAGGGGTCAAGAGTTAATAATCTGACCCTCATCCGTAGGCATAGATAAGACTTTTTACAGGGTTTGGGTGTAACTCAGACACAGAGAATCGTCTGAGTTGCACGTGCACCATGACATGCGGTGACATCAATAGTGCGTAGGGTGGTTGAGGTAACACCAACGATAACGCCGGTGGCGTCATCCAAATCACATTTGAATGAAAAAAATAAAGACTTTTGCCGCTGACCATGGTGATTCTCAGGTTTGTTCTTCCAGCTAATTGTCACCAGATAGTAACTTTAACGCCACCATGACAACAAGGCAATGTATGATTTGACTCAGGATGTCACCTATGGCCTGGAAGATTCATTCCGCTGGTTGGTCTGCACTGAACCACCATATTAATCATTTAATAGTCCAACTAGGGGTGAAAGATTATATACACATAGGGCTATCACGACGGTAAGTAATATGCGTTTGTGACAAAGGCTACTGCTGTTTTTCAGGACAAAATACACACACGAAAACAAAAAAACTACTCACAGATTTGTCAAAATTCATTAGCTGAGTGTCAGAGATCGTCATCTAAAAGGCGATTGCATCAATCATCATTTTATTAGATCAAGTATAAAAAGAAAGAAAGAACTGTAATCAAAAGTACATACTCGAATTTCGTCGGTGACAGTGTCACTAGCAGGAGCATGGATTTTATTGTTCAATCTCCTAGCCGCCTTATCCTCAAAAGTGACATAATTTCCCTCATCCAGTGGTTCTCTGTCTTGAATTCGCCGAGAACAGTAAAAGAGAACCCTTTCCGAAAGAATCCAATCGTCAGTGTCGTTGAAAGGCCCAACGTCGTAAGAAGACTCATGCTGAGGGCTTTGGAGACCTTCAATCACGTCAATGAAGAGACGAGCAGACAGCTGACCTGTCTGGGAAGAAGCGATGGCGTCAGCGTTGGAGGTAAGAAAAGATCGAGTCGCTGCGGCCAGTTCTTGTGATGTAACGTCCTCGATGAACGAACTAGCATTGGTTTGGTCAGGGGACAAGATGACAAGAGGGCAAATTTCTGTAATAACAAAAGCTACCCGTAAAAATAGAACTCATAAATGGCAAAGCGAATAAGGAAAACGCTTCGACTTGCCTCCAATATTTTCTAAGGAGATAGATTTCGCTAAGATTTCGCCAAAAGTACGCCAAGCGTAAAATTGGTATTTTTTGGCGATTTTGCACACCGATGGTAGGAAAGATAAATCAATTTCAAATCTAAACCAAAATTGCAACAAATGACATTAATTCAACTAATTTAACACGCGTTTATCAATTTACCAACGTAGACAGGAAATAAAAAGAAATGCTGTGAGACTAAGTAGCAACAAATCACACAAAAACAGTAAAAATTATACGCATAGCAAAAGTTAAAACCTGAGTGACAATCAAGACAAAGCATATCAGTATGAGAAGTGCTTGGTTTCTAGAACCTTGTAGAGGAGAGGAAACGCAAGTACTATATTCACTTACGAAGGATCATGAAGATATTGATGAATGGCTTCAAAGGCTTCCGGTGCTTCTTCGAGATCGATAAGAATATTGCCGGCGTGTGAGCACACCTTTACTGCAGGCCAAAGCAAACATCCGAGATTACCGTCAGATTCAACAGCATCGAATATTTGCTTGAAAAGATAACTTGCAGAACCGAAAATCAACTTTTCGCAACTAAACGACGAATTTGGAAATCTAAATATCACATTGTATGTCAGAGCATTGCCCTTCAATTTGGGGCTACAACTCCACATGTGAAATAGCGGATGGAAAGTCAACGTCCTATGTTAAAACACGCAAACACACCAAGGGAGTAGGTCGATTTGCATGCACTTATTCAAACAATTGACCTTGACAGAATTTCACCTTTAAATGTTTCTAAAATCGAGGTAAAAATGCAAAAAAATGTCTGATTTATATGCTTTATGATTTTTGTTTTGATAAGGTTAAGAAAACGTTTTTTCAAATGGAATGGTAATTTCTAAAATGTTTACGACGTATTATTCCTTCACCCAAGGAAACTAAGGGTTGTGCCCTGTTCCAAATAAGTTGACATAGCAAAAAAATTAAACGCGTGGCATTGCGTGAAATAATTAATTCTAATTTAAGCTTTTTAATTCAACAATGTCGACACGCTGCTTAATGATTTTCCACTCTTGTTTCAAATTTCTACTTGAAACGCCTTTTAAGAACGCAAAACTTTAACCTTTTTAAGATCTTTACCTTTTTTAACTCAGAATTGACTCATTTATGACCTCTAATGTAGCGTCCCGGGACTCCCTGAAGACGAAAGAAGACACAATACTCGGGCAGAATATATGTATTCAGCACGGAGAAGGTATCTGGGCTATTATCATGGCCCAAAAGGCCAGCCCACCCAGCGAGGTACAAGGGGGCTAATTCGGAGTACAAAAGTGGCGCCTCACCAGAACCGAGGGATAAACCACTATCGTATTACACTAAAAAACCTTTCATGGCTTTTTACTGGGTGGGCAGATTCAAATATTGTCGCATAGCTTATTTTCAATTATTTAGAAAATTTGCCACCTATTGACTTCTCTTCCTTAGTCCCTTCTTAGTTTCTTCCCTAAAGTCATTGAATTTTAACCTTGGTTCTCACGCTATATTGGAAAAAAGGGTCCTCTTGCATGTTTGCTTTTTCTTCACTTCACACAGATTTTTGAAAATAGGAAGATGTTTACACAATCACAAGGAGGCTACTAAGTGCGACGGTTTTTTTAATTGATATTGGGAAGATGCATGGCAGCCAGATTCTTCTCACCCTGATTTGGTGACTGCGGCATCGGCGGCATCACAGCGGCCCCTCCCATGGTATGTTGTCGGCTGATGTTCATCGTCGTTGTCGTCAAGAAGGTTCTGGAGGCTGCCAACTTGGTAACTGGTAAAGGCGCCACTTGAAAGCAGCAGGCTTTGACTGACGTGGTGACAGTGGTGGCGGGGGTCGTGGTTAAGGTGGTGGTGGGACCCCCTACAGGTCCGTGTTGTGTGGAATGTATAGTGGACTGGTGGGGGAAGACGGGCACACAATTGAGTCCATATAAATTTTGAAATGGTGTGGAGAGGTGAGTGGAGACATGAGCGTTCTGATTGGTTTTCAGGCTTGGAAGGGAGTTGTCGTTCTGCTAGAATCACAAAATATCTATCCTGTAACAGGATGATGTGTATCTCTTTTTACTAGCAAGCATACCTAATGATTTTTTACCTACCATTCCATTGTCTGCGCTATAGCCGCTCAGCCCTTTTACACGCCCATAGTAGGGTTGCTTCCAGACTGGTCCATGCTCTTAGTGAGCAGACCATCTCAAAATGTCAATAAAATAGTTTTAGCACCGTAGTACTACCTGGAAAATGTGTGGCTTATGAGCGTGTTTTAAAACTGTTTTCTCCTTTCTGTGATCAAAGTGGTTACACCAGTTGTAATAGCTTGTTCTAACCTTCCACTCACTGAAAGCGAACAGGTTTCGATACAGAGACCCTCAGAGACGGCTCCCACAAAGCATGAGCTACGGTGATAAGTTCTTTGCGAGGATATCATATCTTGTTTTGTCTTCTAAGCTTACTTAAACGCACCAAAAGAACCTCACCGAGGTAGGAATTGGGGCTGATGCATGCCCATCCAACTCACATTCAGTTTTGTCATTCCACCTGGCTGCGTATTGGCAACAGTCTTCCATGATGGCATAGGATTTACGCAAAATCCAGTTGCTTTCAGGCTCACATTACCAACAGACTGTTGCTGCTGCAGACCACCAGTCACAGAAGCACCAGTTATGCCAAAGTTGGAGGCTCCTCCGAGTTCAGTCCTTGGCCATGCGGCGAAGGGATGATAGACGCTACCACGAACGATCTTTGCCTTCCTGGCATAGATTCCCACTGGGGGCACCCTGGTCCGACTTTCGGCAGGGAGGCCAGCACGGTGTACGTTGGTTGCTATGCTATCCCCTGAGGGGGTTACCGAAACCGTGGTGGCAGGAAGGGATGAGGCGATAGAAGCGGAAGTGAGAAGACCTGCACCCTCTAGGAATTTATGTTTCAAGAGACATTCGGTCGTTGCTCGTCCCGCGGGGTCTAACTGAAAGCAGGCCTAACGGAAAGATTCAAGTTTTCTTTAAGCTTTCGGTAGCGTTTAAACATGCTTTTTTCACTCTGAAGAACAATAAGTCACATTTTTCGCTTATCGTGACCCTATTTTACTGTTAAGAGTCCCCGCAGAGGAAGGTAGACCACCATGATGCAATTAATTCATCCATTCATGATCGCTTAATGCCAATAGTTTGATACCAATCAAATAAACATCCCGCAGTCTATTATGAAACAGAGCCCACTTTTTCCGATAAGTTAGTGATATTGCAGAAGTGGAAATGGAAATACCTACCGATGGAATCCAAATGCTACTTCCCATCCCTAGTTAGGCAGTAAGGAGACTATTCAAAACTCACGGAGTGATTTTATGATGTAAGCCAAAGTATGCATATATTTTTGGCGCCTAACACCTACTTGGGACTCATTGACTTGCAATCCGTAGCACAATTTCCCTACTCGCTTGATGTGGGCAGAAAAAATTGCTTCAGGACTCAAAGTTAACTTGACACTAATGACAGGCAATTTTTTCCCTACTCCTAGAGAGCCTTCCCAGCCATGATACACCTTTTTTTGAGTATCACATCACGCGAGTGGAAATTCCCAAAACATTTAGTTATTATCTTTACAAATGCTACCCTACTTTATTTAAATGTCACACAACTACAATGGAGGGAATATTTCGCTGCCACGGGAGTGAGTTGAAGTCGGCTATATTCACGTCATACCATACACCCTTCACTTACTAATTTGGAGGTACAACTCCCACTCCCCTCTCTGTGTGTGGGCTTTTTAAACCCATAATTTGTCCAAGAGTTGCAAATTTCATGTGCTTACTGTAAAATGATTTTTGGTGCTTTAATTTTTGCGCTACCACCAACCGTTGCGCAGGGCAAGTAAGGAAACATTTAACCCTTTAGTTATTTCATGAAAGCCTTTAAATAATATGGAAGCGATTTACCCGCAAGAAGTCTAATTCAAAAGCCTCCAAGGGGGGCTGGAGAGAGGCGAACTTCTTTTCCAGACTTTCCTAGAAAATCCGAATAGAAACAAAATAGCGGAGAAAAATTTATTATATGTGTAAACTTATTAAACAAGTTAAAATATATTACATTCAGAGCTGTTTTTAATGAATTGGTACGCCCGACAATGACCTTAAACAGGCAACGTGGGTTTTTCGATTTGAGCTGAGTATGTAGTGCAGCGGGGCTCAAAGTAGGGAATACCAACCAAAGGTGGTGTAACAAGTTGAAATAATTCGACCTGTTCTAAGGAATAATATACCAGTCTTAATTAAATGTGCGTCTCGTCAATTTATCTGGGCTTTTACCCGCCAAAACGGGGCAACTTCTCGGGTACCTCATTCGAACAAACTGTTTATGGACCAAGGTAACTGTTCAAAAGTAGCCATCCTGAAACATTTCGCAGTGAAGCACACATGGCTAATGATGGCTTTATCAAATCCTCCGAAGGAGAAGATTCTAACTTGTCCCCTGAATTAGAGTAGTAATTGCAATGTTTGCATGATTTTAAGAAGACTTTTAATTCAGAAAGCGTCCTACTAATTTTCGGGTTCATACAGCTAGGCATAGAGACATTACGTCGACCTTAACGCAAAAATTCGATAGATTCCTTTTGATACGTGATCAAGGGGGTTTAACTCTACTGATGAGATGTCAGTAGCAGGGCATTACCATTATTTTTGGCTCCGGTAGTTGATGTCCCTTGAAAAAGGCATTCGACGCGAAGATCTCTCGATGCCGGGGCAAAATATCACCTAGAATATTTATCGAAAACTTGCTTGATTACTATTTTATTTAAAAGTAGATTCAACGCTTTCTCTGAAAGGACCTAAAATTAGACTATAATGTGTACTTCCAATACACGTTACTAGCTGATCTTTCTTGCTTTAAATGGCTCCAACACTGTTTCTTATTTTCCCTTATTTTATTCTTGTGCAATATGCAAGTATTTTTTTACAAGGGCTCGATAAGCCCTAATTTTATGCAACTGATTAGGGTGTGCGAGAATCCCGATTCCAGCTGTGAAGAGATCATCAGTAAATCACTCTTTTAATGAATTAGACTATGGGTACTGTCAAGATTCCAATTAGGCAAGGACTTCTCCATAATGTGGGCACACTAGGAATTTTGTGTGTGTGTATGCCCTCTAGGTAGATTGCTCAAGTTTCAGGATGGTCACCTCGATCTTACACGAGGTGCTGGCGAGTGTGAAGAACTCAACGTGATGGCTTATAAAATGGGCGTGCCAGAATGTTTGTAAAGTCAACTTTCAAGCAAAAGATTTTAGAGGCACTACAACGGGACTGCTTTCTGGGGGTTGCTGTTTCCTCTCAAAATCTTTTGTCTTGTATTTCTGGGCCCAAACCAAATGGCGCATGGATAGGAGAGAGGTGAAATAAAATTGACAGCCATTGAGAGGTGCCTCTATGATTCCTTCAATTTATCGTAGGTTTTAATTACCAAAATTTTTAATTAATAAAGAGGAGCCTTTTTTCCTATGTTGCCATACCCTATTTTAAAAAGGGTGGGCGGTGTTGTTCCTTTTTTTTAATTTCCCATCACCTTTTTGCTTTCTCGTAGCCTATTGTTTGCTCTGCGGATCACAAAGTAAAAAAGGGTGAAGCCAGCTTATTCATAAATCCGTGAAACCTTCCTGTCTTTCCCTAATTTAAGTCCATACTACGAACAAATGTTATTATTTTCCAGAATTGTGCTGCAAAAAATTACCACAAAAGTTGGAAATTGTACCAATGCTAACATAGGTAATAAGGATCACCACAAATACCAATACAGAGCTGCTTTTATGCGTTTCATGGGACTAGAAAAGAGAACTTAATTTAAAACTCATTTTTTTCAACCACTTTGTCGATGTCTTCTTTGTGAGCAGAGTTAGGGGGGGGGGGGGAGGAAAAATGAACAGAAAGTGTAGAAAACTGCAAACTATAGAAGTAAGCATAGATTGAGGGCGTCATTTATGTATTAAACAACGTCTTCAGAAGGAAATCCAGAAAGGAAATATAGGCACATCATTTCCCTGTCTGGGTGGAGAGGGTTTGGCATACTGCCTACCTGTGTTTTAATGCCAATAAGAGAAACATATTTTAGCTGAGGAGGTGAAAACCAACTTTTTACCTCCATCTGCTTCTGCACGATTTCTATCAGCCATATCTTAGTCTAGTTGGTAAATTTAGGTGCGATAAAATTAGTTGGCACTAAGTAAAACCAACAATATATACCAAACGTTTAGAAAGAGCAAAATCCAGTAGGTTTTGACAACGAATACCAGTTTTTTGTAGTGACTCCGAGTTAACTAATTCAAAACCGTGTAACCTGACAAAAGCCAGCTTTAAAAGAGCCGATTTTATTTCTAGTCTGTCTTGCTTTTGCAGTAGCTCTAAAAATACGCTAAATGCTCCTATTTCGGCCAATTGTTTAGTTGTCTCCAAGGCAGCAGTAGTCACAGAAGCACCGAAGCTCCCCTCCTCAGCATTCATCACTTGAATTTTTTTTTCACGTAAAATAACAGCTTATTTTTTAGACAAATATAGGCGTCATGGGGAGTAGCATTCCTCCTATCAACGCTATAATCTCCTTTTTCTCAGTCACTGGCCTAGAGAGCATCTTCACCAATTTCACCTTTACAAGGAACCATTCAGACAGTAATTTTACCACTATATGCTTTGGATGATCCGCTTGCAATAAACGAAATCAGGCACGTTTATTGGAGTAAACCATAAGAGATCATATTTTGGGAATCAATTTGGGGCCGATATTTGGGCTTTTACCAACAACATCCACTACTGGTGTTCCTGAATGCAAGCGTTTAATACATCCAGATGTTGTATGTTTCTTGCGCAACATTAATTACTGCATTTCATGCCCACGGTTGGGTCTTATGCAGGGTGTCATGTCGTGTTTGAACGACAGCGATGACGAGCATTTTAAATGATGTCCTTTAAAGTAAGGGCCCTTTCCTGCATATTCCTAGATATCCCACGTTTCAGCGTCATTCGACTTACCAAAAGGGCACTGGATTGTGTGCATTCGCAGTATATTTAGAAAGCATCATCTGTATTTTAATTAAGTTGATTTTAGAGCCAAGTATGTCGCACAAGAAAGGTACGAGAGCATATATTGTCCACAAAAAATGGCATTTTTAACTGGAAAACATTTTGGAGACCCTAAGACGAGTTTTAAAAGAAAGGACTTTTCATGTTGGCATGCAAATCGGAAACTTGACCAGGTACTCGATTTAGTTCCTCTCAAATTCAAGGTCAAACTGTAAACTTTACATTACCTTTGTGAAATAATTATTAAGGGGCTACAAAATAGCGTCTAGTAGTAATTAGTTCTTGGTTAGTTTTTCTCACGGGTCCCACACACTTCCAATTGAGTGATTTATGGGAGATTGGGGCATTGTTTAAGCGGCGTTATTTAGTGAGAAAGCAAAGTGATTTTTGGCTCTTAAATAAAAAATCCGGCAAAAATAGGTCTAAATATAAATGACAGAAGTAGTAGTGATATTACAGATATCAGCTCTACTTTACGGCGATAAAGTTTGAAATTTTGGGACTCAACATGTCGCCAGTGCTGAGCTTGAGTCCAATCGACAAACCTGATCGACCATCATGAAGAACCAACATCATTAGGAAAAAGTTCAAGTTTTGAGTAAAATTTAGGTGTTTATTCTTCTACAAGCTTTTTCTACGTGTGTCGCAAATGCCAAATGGAGGAAAAGATGGAGAGGCAAAGTATCCGTGTAGCTAACATTACGATGAATTGGTGACGCACCCTGGGTCCTTCATGCAGTCTTAAGGCGTCACAGAAGCGTGACAGAAAACAAGCTACTAACGCACGGAAGAGTCGGGATGCTGCTAACATGGCCCAGGGGCCATACGACTCAGTATCCGCCCCATCAAACGCTAAGTTAAACAAACCCTTAAAAGTTTACATTAACAACTTAAATTCTGCGTCACTTAGAAGGCATAAGCCATCGCTTAACAATTAGGGAAAAAAATACACTCTGAATTCCCTATTTCCATTAGTCAGCATTTAGTTGGACAGTGGACGTGGTTCAGAAGTGGAGAGGACTTTTAAACTTACAACAAATGATTTTGTTCAAGTCGTATAGTAAAAGAAAATTCTTGTTTTCTGGAGGTAGATTACTGGCGCATAGAGCTATTTCTAAGAGGTAAGAGAACGGTGGGGACCTGTTTTGACTGTCCGCATCTATGAAGACATGGCGGATTTGACCGTAGACAAGCAAGTGGTCACAACATCCGAACATACCGAGAGTATTGATGATCTGGAAGAGTTGGTCAAGGTCGGACCTGCCTGGCCATAGGGGTGAACCTGTAAGCATTTCGGCCACAACACAGCCGATAGCCCAAATATCCACCGGAGGTCCGTATTGTGTATCACCCACCAATAGTTCTGGAGCGCGATACCAACGGGTTGCCACATAATCTGTATATTTGTCATCTGGACCGGCTTGTTTTGTAGAAAAAAGAGCCGAGCTCATTAAGTTGATGCAGCATATATAAATTAGGAGGAATTGAGGCATAAAAATACGGGAGTTATCTTGTTGGCTATGCTATGAGCAATTCAGTATGCTATCAGGGAAAATCTGCAATGAATGTGTGGACTCGCTGATTGCTTGAATTTCTTTTATACTACTTATAGCATCACCCTTCCATCACTCTTGTAAGCTAAAGGTGGGGCGAATTTGATATTGGAGTGTTTCAAAATGCCCTCTGAACATACGCGCTTAGCCTACTTATCAGCAATATCAGTAGCAGCAGCTGTAACTTACTGAGTGTCCGAGCGAATCCAAAGTCGCATAGTTTTAGCTGTCGTGTCTTTGTGATGAGGATGTTTTCTGGCTTGACGTCGCGGTGAATGAACTACCATCAAAAATAAAGTCATTTGGTACGGGCTCAGGGTTACACTATGCCTATATGGAGCATGATTACGTTAACTTATATGCTTAGCCACATATTTTTAGTGTTTCTTTTATGGTTCTAAAATGCCCAAAGCAATAGGTTAATATTCAGTCTTTTGAATTTGAACCTTTAGGAGAGGGATTCGCTACTTATAAGGGAAAAATTAACTTGCTCTACGCTCGGAATAGGCTTCTCACATTAATTAGCACCCATCACCTTCAGTTAACAAAAAGTACTTTCAAGAAATACCCAGCGGTAAAAAGTAAGGGTTTTTCATTTTATTCAGAAGAAATGTTTTTGACCAGCCAATCAGAAATCAGATCGAGTCTTCGAAATTCGAAATAACTGGTTCGAGAATTCGGTGTTGTGGAAAAGTTTAGGTTTGTGCTTTTTGTAAAAAATTGTTAAAACATATCACTCACATTACGTTCATGGCAAAAATTTACAGCTTGAAGTAGCTGCCAGGTGAATTCGACAACCTGACTCCTTTTGAGCCTAAAATTAAACATCCGTTCGTTAATTCAAAAAATAACTTGTTGGTAATTGTTATCGAAAGGCTCTGAATATTAAAGCTTTATTCGGAACACTTTATAATTTAAAGGGTTGCAATTCTCAGGCGATTCTCATTTAGTCAGCAACCCACCTAATGATAGATCAGTAGTCCACAAGTCAGGAAAAAAAGTATTTTTATCAATTCTCTTTTAAATAGAATGGTTCCAAGCACCTAGGTGGGTAATTGTTTGCATTAGCGAGTCTCTTGGTCCCACTTACCCCTTGGGATTTTGCTCCAATTCATTCAGCAACGTGTGGTCCACATATTGGAAAACCAGATGAAGACGCTTCTTCCGTTTGAACACTTCGATGAGGTTTATTAGGTTGGGATGCTTCAATTGCTATGTGGGTGTCAAACAGCGTAATTAAGGATTATTTTACTTCGATTAAACCTCATGACAGGTAGGAGCCCTAAAAACATTTTAGCCAAGTACCCAATGGCTAAAAAATTTCCGTATGATTAGGAAAAGACCGTTAATATAGAAAGTTGCAAGGTTGTTTGTTTTTGCTCTGAAAAGTAAAAGAAAGAGCCTGATTTTCCTTCTATTTAGACTCAAAGTTCTTGTATATTACAGGCCTTTTGCTAGCAGTGTGAAGCTACTCCACAATCCAAGATGAGTTTTACACATTGTACTGCCGGTTTGCTCATTTCGATGCTAAGTAATATCATTTTGGCAAATTACACAAAATAAATCAACAAAGATGTAGTTGAGTAGACGGAACCTTGAGAGTACGTATTTCTCGCATAGCAATTCGATGAATCACAGGATCCTCCTCTGATTCTGTGAACTTCTTGATGGCCACCACCTCACCGGTCTGCCGATTTCGACACTTGAACACGACTCCGTAGGCTCCCTCGCCAATTCGTGCAATCTTCTCATATCGTTCCATATCGGGATTTGTATTTCTTTTCTATTTTTTAGCTGTTCGATGGGTCGTTGCTTCATGTAAAGCTAAAATGGTTATAAATATCGGCTCTCTCCCACTTCTAACCAACTGAAGTAAACAAAGAAATGCTAAAGTTATCTATCATTGTTTGAGTAATTATTGACAAACTGTCATAACCTGAGGTAAGAAAGTGAAACGTTTATTAAAGAACCACTTCCTTTACAATCTACTTCTCAATGCATGATACAGCATTAGTTCGCTTTAGTATGGCAAAACCCAAATAATCTTCAATTCTTCCATTGACCAGAATTCTGAGGGTTCTTTTCCGTATCGTAGGATGCATTTGTAAAGAGCGTGATTAAGGCAGTTAAAGAGATGTTTAGTTTTATCATCTCCTTCACACTTCGCCTGAGGGGTATTTATTTTACTGCCTCTGTGTCTAGCTCCGATTCAATGCCAAAACACATTAAGTTTGATTGTTTTCCATGCAGCCCAAATATTCCCATCCAGGACCGTATCCATTGTTTGCATTTACAATTTCATAGCAGATGTTGTAAGACATTATATGCAATAAAGATCCACTTTTAATTACTCACAGTCTTCCCATTCTCCGTATACATGCATACAAGTAACTGCTTAGTGCTTAGAATGAACATTACATTGCTGGAAAGGTTAGTGACTATTCCCCAAAAAGATGCAACAATTTATAAATGCATCATTACCTGAATTAGGAAAGAGGGGTTGCAGTAATTTTAGGCAAAGGTTTTTGGGTAACAACTCGGAAATTACCTGTAGAATGTTTTTTATTATAATCAATCCAGATTGTTGCATTTAATTAGTTAAAAGACAGTGTGCGTAAATATACTCACATTTGTAAAGGGTATAAATGACATTGTGCCTTACAGAAGTGGCTATTAAAAGGCTATAAAATGAGCACCGGAATTTTATCACCTAGTGAATCTATTAAGTTTGGCGTCTATTGCTACCCCTATACCGAAGCGTAATAGCAGAGGGAAACAATTCTGTGGTAAAGACAGGTGAGAGTAAGATATCAAAAGCATGAAAACATACTGGAATATATTTTGGCATTCCTCTCTGTTATTCTTACTTGATAATTAGGTATTTAATGGGCCAAACACACGACAAAAAAAAACTTACTACAAATTCTTATGCAAAATTCATCCTTGCTTTAAAATATGAACGTATAGTGTATCAAATTGAATTCATATATTTTATAAATCGCTCTTTCTATTCGGGCATATAAACTAATTGCTATAGATACCTTCTTTCTAGGTCATTCCCTAAACGCTAATTGTGCGATGAAAATACCAAGGGTAATCTAATTGCAGAAGTCGACATTTTTGACTCACAAATTTTGTGTTGTGATGGAAATAGCATGTAAATCTCAAAAATAAAATATCTGCTGTAGCCCAAATGTGTGACATCTCAATACAAGGATTACTTTGTAGGCAATAATCAATTTAAAGACATGTATACTTCAAAAAATCAACAAATATTTAAATAGAATGTTTATGATTTGATTTTTTTCACCCTTTGTAATTTCACTACGCCTAATTTGTACATAATGCGCCAATTTGCAACAGTCGCCTTTTGCCGTACAGAAAGCTGAATCGCCCACTGATTGATTTGGCTTCACTAGAAATCTTTGCCTGATTCGGCCCAACTTAAGCGTATCCTCTGGTCGCCTATCTCAAAAAAAAAACGGAATTGATTTTCTCCCATTGCCGATGCACCGCTTCATGTTTGTAGCGTCCCGGGACTCCCTGAAGACGAAAGAAGACACAATACTCGGGCAGAATACATATTCAGCGCAGAGAAGGTGTCTGGGCCATTGGCATGGCCCAAAAGGCCAGCCCACCCAGCGAGGTACAAGGGGGCTAATTCGAAGCACAAAAGTGGCGCCTCACCAGAACCGAGGGACAAACCACTATCGTATTACATAGCCTCCCTCCTCTTTTGAGCGTCGTTCCCGGCGCTCCCACAGGTCAACCTCCCGCGTCAGCCATTACAA